GATGTTCACTCCATTTTAAATAATAAAACAGGCGGTAAGTATTTTCTTCATCATTATATTACTACATTCAAGATCATTATTTTTGAAAAAATATTAACTATTGATTTTCATTTTATTTTAAACAATAAATAGGCAGTAAGTATTTTCATCATCATAATCATTATTACATTCATATCATTAAATATTAACTGTTGATTTTCATTTCATTTTAAATTATAAATAGAGTGTAAGTATTTTCATTATTATTATTATTACTAACAGTCAATACAATATCATTGTTTTTGAAAAAATATTAACTGTTGATTTTCATTTTATTTTAAATAATAAATAGCACGTAAGTATTATTTTCATCATCATTATCATTAGTCAATATCATTGATTTTGAAAAATATTAACTGTTGATTTCATTTTATTTTAAATAATAAATAGCACGTAAGTATTTTCGTCATCATCATTATTATTGCAGTCAATATCATTGTTTTTGAAAAGTATTAACTGTTGATTTTCATTTTGGTTTAAAGAATAAATAGGAAGCAAGTATTTTTATCATTGTCATCATTAGGCGTTCAAACTTGAAGTTCTGTTTAACATCACCACCCATTTTTTTTCGGAAATTTGGAATTTAAACTAAAGAATTTTTATTTTTCTAAAAGATGTTAAACAGATTTCTAAATTTGAACGGCTTTATTAAAATCAAATATTTTTGAAAAATATTAACTGTTAACTTTCATTTTATAATAGAAAGCAATGAAAAAAAAAATAATTTATTATTAATTACAAAAAATTGTTCCTCAAGAATAATTAATTTATATTGTTCTCATTTATTATTTTACTTTACTTTCGTCTTTTTATTACATTTATTCATTAAGTTATATTTATATATAATATTTTTATTATTGATTCAATAAACAATATTTTTATAAATTAATTCATATTGTAATGGATAAAACCACTTTTGAAACCGACAATTATGCAAGCTGATAAACAAAGAGATCTTTTTACATATCATGTGATAACGTGCATTGTATTACATGAAAAGTATACTAACGTAGAGATATTCTTTCGGGCCACCTTTTATATTCAGTTGCAACGCCCTTATTTACTAGAGATACTGGACGCGAAAATAGTTGCAATCATCGTCAAAAATAGTGCGATGTTGCAAGTCGCAAACCGTATCGCAATTGTTGATTGGTTGGTCGATGTAAATATTTTATGTATTTTACATAATATTCTGTTTTAATTAAGGAACGAAACTCTTTCTTTTGTGTTTTAAATATAACCATCCCGCTTAATAGTGCAAGTTATCTTTAAATGTGACCTTTTGGTTTTTGAATGGGTCAATTTTCATGTCGATTTATTGCTCAATTTTTATATAAATTTCACAAACATTTTTGCGATATGCAAATTGATATGAAAAGCAAGCTTGCTTATAAAAAAAAATATGGTGCAAGAGGACCCCGCAAACTTCATAGATAGGTTAGTGTGCAGCTGGGTCAAATTAATATATTGATTAAATTTCAATTAACTTAGTGTTGGGGTCAATCAAATTATTATATTGTACATCAAAAAGGTTGGTTAGGTTTAAGAGGATCAAATATATTAGTAGTCAACGATCGTTTGATAATAAAATCAAATTAATATTAATATCTGCAGCACATTTAGTTATCGAAACATTTATGATTATGGTTATTCGAATATTTATGACTATTTAAAATTCCATCCATTGCTATTATCAAAAGTCTTCTTATGTATTTCGAATATTCCAAAGGAATGAAAGATCATTGTCAAAGCTCTCTTGTTCCTTTCACACAATCAAGACTAATTTTTATTGGCTGATCGGAAGGAACAAATTTGTTGTTTCCATTAAACGATCCAAAAAAAATTCTGAAAAAAAAAAAGACATTTGAGTTTTGTGAATTAGGCTAAAAATGAAAACAAAAAACCAGTTCAAAAATAGCTTCTGCTAAGCTAATAATGATGAACAACAACAATAAAGTGTTCATTCAGGTCCAAAAAGCAAGCTTCTACTAATAATGACGAAATATCCAGTTCAAATAGTAACTTCTTCTACTAATAATGATGAATTACAACAAAGTGTTTATCTGATTCAAAAGGCAGCTGCTTCTACTAATAATTTACATCATCAACATCATCGTCAAATCCTTTCTAGTTTATTTTGCAGAATTTCCACATAAATTCTAGAACGTAGATCATCAGAGTATTTGGAAATTCCCGTGTTTGGAAATTTCCCTGACTGCATTCAAATTTTCTAAATATAGGATTGAAGATCTTTGAAACGTTGTTTCTTCTTTTATAATACAAGACAATTCAAATTCAATTTGATTAGAACAACATGATGAAATCAATAATTAAATTTAGGATCGATTGTTTTATTTATTATAAATAAGCGAACTATTTCGTCTTTAAAAAAAAAAAAAAGAAAAAAAAGAAATCCTAATTTTTTTCAAACTCATTTTTTTTATATTTTACCTTCTTTAATAAATATACAATTAATTAATAATTATTGAGTAATTATTTTTTAATTAATAAATTTAAAAAAAATGAGTTTGAAAACTTACGTTACAAATAAAGTTGTAGATCATGTTTTAGAGAAAACATCCAACATACCCAATGCACCACCCAATGCAAAAATAGCCAATAATTTCAACAATTACATTAATAGTGATAACATTAATAGCATTAATAATATTAATAAGAATTTCAACAATCACATTAATAATAATAATAATATTAACAAAAATTTCAACAATTACATTAATAATAATAATATTATTAACAAGAATTTCAACAATTACATTAATAATAATAATAATATAAACAAGAATTTCAACAATTACATTAACAACAACAACAACAACAACAACAACAACAACAACAACAACAACAACAACAACAACAATAATAGTTTTAACAATAATAATAATAATAATAATAATAATAAAAGTAATGGTAAAAGTAAAAAAAATAAATGGAACATTCCAGCTGGATTAACAGAAAAAGAGGCAAAAACATTAAAAATTGTTAAAAAAAGAGCACATTATTTAGATAATGGATTTTGTTCGATTTGTGGAATTAGAATTGGACTAGAACCAATTATTGGTAAATAATCAAATTATATTTGTTAAATTGACTTGATATATATTTTTATTGAATTTATCTTTATTTTATCTAGGATGTTTACCAGTTATTGGTGATTTTATGGGGGTTTGGTTATCACTAATGTTGGTGAAGAAATCAAGAGAGATTAATTTACCACAATTTCTCATATTTCTAATGTTGTTGAATATATTTGTTGACTTTATGGTAAATTTACATATATTGTTTAAAATAAGATTTCTTTACATTATATTAAAAAAAAAAATTTTCTGACAAAAATTTTCCTTTTTTTTAGTTGAGCTTAACACCATTTTTGGGAGATTTTATAGATTTTTTATATAAAGCGAATTCAAGGAATGTAATAATATTAGAACAATATTTGATTTCAAAAACAAAAAACAAAACTTCAAAGATTGAAAATGGTTCAATTGGATTTCAAGAGAAACAAAATAATTAATAATTAAATAGTAGAACTGTTAATTATAATAATTATAATAATCAACACACTTATATATATATTCACATGTATATTTATACAAAATAGAAAATTTTCATGTACACAAAAAAATGATTAATAATAATAAATATTTAACATCTCTTTCAATTTTTAAGTATGAAAAAATTGTTCGTTTGGTAATTTAAGCAAGACAACTTCTCCATTGTCTTTTGTCAATGAAAATTCCAAGACTTTCCAATTTCTTTCCAATGGAATACGGATTGCACGAAAATGAATTTTACCTTTAGCTGTTAAATTCATAATCATATCATATGCAAATACCATTAAATTATGCATAAAATTTATTAATTAATATTATAATAAAATCAACCTACCTTTATTTCCTTTCACAGAATATTTCACATCCACCTTTCCTTTCAAAATATTAACTTTTCCAATAACCCAAGGCCAACTTGAAGAAAAACCAATATTATTCCCTAAAGTTTCTATGGCTAATGGATTCTTTTTAATATGAAGTAGACTTGTTTGAATTATATTGTTGTTGACACGTTCATAATTAAAAAAACAAACAGTCGCCACTATCCACATTGAAACACCAACCACCCCATAGAAAACACGTTTAGCCTTTTCTTTTTCTAATTGTGGTAAAGGTTTCGGTTTTCTAGTAGTAAAGCCCTTAATAGTAGTGGTGGTAGTGGTGATAGTGCCATTATTATTAATGGAATTTTTGATTGTTGAAACTGTTGAAAAATAGCAAATTTTACTATTGTTATTATTGTTACTAATAAAAGATTTTAAATTGATATTTTTATTATGTATTGTGATGGATTGATTCTGAAAAAAAGATCTGTTTAAAGCTTTGAAAGGATTTATTATTATTATAGGTTTACGAATTAAAATCATTTTTTTTATAAAGAAAATTTTTTTTTTATGAATCTCTACAATTTTATATTTGATATCATCATCCAATCACAAGTCACCTACTACGGATTACAGCATTTATAATTGATATCAGCATCATTATCATTTATATATATATATTTTTTTTTTTTTGAAAAAATAATAATATGAAAACATTTAGGATCTCGACATTTTGAAAGAACTTTTAAAGATTATGCAAGAAAGGTAATATAAATATATCTGTATTCGTATTCGTATTTATATACAGGAATATAAAATTATTAATAAAAAACAATTTTTTAATAGGAAAAGGGAATTATTTTTGCGTCACACGGACTTTTCACTAATACTTGGCCACGTAAACGTATCGATGCTTCAAGTGAAAAAGAAATATTTGAATTGGTGGGTATTCCTTGGTTGGAGCCCGAGATGAGAAATTGTTAGAAAACGGAGGGAGGTTTGCACGTTCAAATTTAATATATTATTAACATTGATGCATGATTTTCATCAGATGTATAGATATCCATCTGATATTATTCAATCAACAAATAATTTTATTAAACTAAAATTACAATACTATATTAAAATTATATTATTAAATCATTAAAAAATTTATTACTTTGTTATTTCATTATTTCACCATCACCACCATCATCATCGCAACCACATTTATATTTTTCAGCAATTAATCCACAATCAAATATTTTTTTATATAACCTTTTGTTAACAATATTATGAACAGCACATGCCCATTGAGATGCAGCTTCCCTTGATGATACTTGGGGGGGATATTTACTAAGAATTTCTTGAAACTCTGTGGCACTAATTATTTCATCAATTTAATGAGAATAGTTAAATATCTATATTTTTATTTCAAACTTTCACAAAAAATTTCTTACCATTCACCACAAGGATATAATCTACCAAATAAATAAATAAAACTTCTTAATGCTTGCTTGTGATCTTCTGTAGGATGTTCAGGAAATCTTGCCATCATTGTATGTAATAACTTTTTTTTTAAAAAAAGAGATCTAAATTAATTAATTATTTATTTATTTCATAATCAATTAAATTAAATTGATTTAACCTTTACCTTCCAACTACTACGTCCAAGCTCAGCTCTACAATAAATATTTATTTATAAATTTATTTATTCACAATTAAAAAATTTTGTTTTTTGTTAAATCAATAAAATTAATAAACATACTTTATGGTCGCGTTTCCCAACAATGGCATTACAACAGAGCCATGAATAACCTTAGAAGAAATGTCGGGAATATCATTGTTGCTGTTGTTGTTGTCGTTGTCGTTGTTGTTGTTAGATATTAAAGATGATTCTAAATCTGTTAAATAAGACTCATTTTCTCGGGTTTGAATGCTTGAGTTTAAATAAATAAATGTAGGTGAGATTATAACTATGACTATTATAAAAAAAATTGATAATGGTCGCATAATTATAATTTTAAATAAATTTAAAAATTTATAATAAATTTATTTATATACAGGTTTTTGATTGTATTACAAAAATATTGGCTGATCTTGGCTTTTTATAAAATTAAACGAAACTGTCTTCTGACTCTTTTGTTCGTAGAATTTGTCAAAGTATTTTCTGATAAATCACCATTTAAATCCAATAGTCTCTATAACCGAGCAAAGAAACAAAATGGTAGTTCAAACTCAAAACTAGAAAGCAAAATTCAACAAATCAAATTAAGCCAGATAAAACCTGAACAACCGAGTGAAAGTAAAGGTGAAAGAAAAGTAAGCCAAATACGATTTCATGTTTTTGGATTAATTGCTCCAATTATTCTGTATGGAACCGTATTGCATTGGTAGTAAAATTGTGATGACTCGCTGAAATCCTTTTTAGTACAAATGTTCACTTTATCTGGTTTTGTTGCAGTATGCTCCATATAACAAAGCAGGTTATTATAAAGAAATAAAAGATAAATTACTTAATTAGATGATGTTTTAAAAGTTAACGTATAATATTTACCTTTATATAGTTTAGCTAAATATTAAATCACTATATAAAATCCTATTATTATAAAAATATCAGAAGGTATTTTTTAAATAATATTGGTGTTAGTATCATCGAAATTTGCTATTCGATTTTGGGAGCGAGGTGACAAAAAATTGCATATTAATATTAATATCTGAATCAATGCTTATCGAACACTTGTTAAATAACAATAAAAAAAATGATATGAAACACTGTTTCCAGTTTCATGTAAAGCTGATCCATAGACTTCACTAATTTTAGACATTGTCGGGAAAACGATAAAAAATAACGTGAATTATCCGTGCATTTACCAATAATGTCACACGTATATTGTAGCTTATTTTTTACTGTTTTCCCTCCAAATAAGGATGAAAAAAGTTCAAATGAAAAAGATGATCAATTAAAGGATAAATAAAATATAGTACAGAATTATTAATTTGTAATGAGCGTAATGCTGTCCGGAATACTTTCGAGAGAAGATATCCGAGGCCCGAAACCCTAAACTTCTCGAATCTAACTTTGGAAATTCAGTGTGCGGACGCAAGCATGTTACACCAAAAACGTGGGATCATTTTATATATTTTGTAAATTGGTTTTGACACAGATGAAGACTTTTTTAATTACCCAAATATATCCCTTCTAGTTAAAATATCTCTTATTATACCTCTTTCAAATGCTAATGTAGTAAGAATATTTTCCCAAACAAAGTTGATTAAGGATAAATTAAGGAACAAAATGAATCTTGATACATTAAATAATCATTTAATGATTTTATTAAATGGACCTGAAATTGAAGACTTTAATTTTGAGAAAGCATGTAAATATTGAGAAGATAAAAAATAGGAGGATTAATTCATAGAACTGTCGTGCGTGAAAATGAAATCTATGTGAATTTGCAATTCACGCGTGAAATTCAAATTAGCGCACAAATTAATTTTGGGCTTCGGTAACGGTTTATGTTTCTGGAAAGTTTAGGATTGAAATTTCCTTAAACTGGTTTCGATCACAACATTAAATAAATGTTGCTTTTATTATTATTGTTGTTGTTGCTTCAGCAAAAACAATGTTTCGTGACAACGCTATTTTGTGTTATATGTGTGATAAACCTATGGATTCAAATTGCGTGTTAAAGAGAGTTTGTTGAATAAATTAGGATTTCTCATTCCTTATGTGGTACTTGACAAATACAAATGAACTCACTCACTACAACTAATATTGAAGGATTAAATATTTTATATAATTATTTATTTATTAACTTTTTGAAAATGTCATATATCGATATTATTGCTGTCATGGGTATTGTTATTTAGATTAACCTTATTAATATTATCCTCATTACGAGAATTACTTATAATTTCTATAATTTCATTAATTTTACTATCATCACCATCATCATCGTTATCTTCTTTTTCTTTATTATTATTATTTTCAACAATATCTTCAACTTTATCAATATTAATAATAGTTATTCCATCATAATTAGTATTTTCATTTACTGCCGTAAATTGAATATGAATATTATCATTATTATTGGTTTTGTTGACGGGTTGATTTGAACCTCTTATACTATTACCGCTATAACAACTACTATAAATAGACGAATTGATTGAGCTTATTGAATTTGATGTATTTTTATTATGATTTAAGTGCGAGAAAGATTTATTTGTTATTATATCACCATCATCATCATCATTATCATCATTATTATTAGAATTTATTATCTTGGTAGGATTGGCGTTTTCTTTTTCTTCGTTCTTTTTGTTTTGTTCTTCTTCTTGTGGTTGTCCAGTGACTGCAACTATATTACTATTACTATTATTATCATTATTAGAAAATGAACTCTGTATTAAATTTGATGATTTTGATAAAGATGATTGATGATTTTTTAATGATGGTGATGGCGAAGGTGGCGTGTAATGAAATGGTGATGATGGTGGTGGTGATGATGGTGGTGGTGGTGGTGATGGTGATGATATTGGTGATGATGTTGGGAAATTTAATAATGTTTTTGGAGATGAATTTGGCGTTAATCGGAAAGTGTTGTTATTAAAATTCTCTGATCTAGAACCATCATGATTGTTATTTATCGAGTCTGAAGAAGATGGAATTTCTATACTTGATGATTTTCTTGTTTTTTTTAAATTTATTATTTCGACATTGCCTCTTTTTGAATAAGTGTTTTTTAAATTGTTATTGACGGTTGATGTTGTTGATGTTTGCACGAAGCTAATAACAAATTCGTCAAGATTTTTTGGTTGATCAAATAGACGAATTAACAAATGGTATTTTAATGTTTCAACTAAGGATGGCTTTGGAATTAAAAGCGGATTAGATAAATTGGATGATGAAAATCGCTCTTGATCTTGTTGATCTATCTCATTACTAATATTATTTGTTGTTGTTGGCTTTTTATTGGTGATTATTTCGTTATTGTCATCGTCATTCTCGTCATTAATGTTTAATACCATCATATCAAGTTCAATTGAATCTTTATCTTTATTATTATTATCATTATTACTATTATTATTATTATTTGTATTAGTTGACAATTTATTTGATCTTCTAATACTTGATTGAGATTTTATTAACGAATTATTATTACTATTATTATTATTATCATCATTATTATTACCATCATTGTTATTATTACCATCATTGTTATTATCATAATTATTATTACTATTACCATCATTGTTAATATTACCATTGGTTGCCGCTGAGATAGATTTATTATGTGATAGATGTGGATAAGATCGTTCATATTTATTAACATAATTATACCACCAATTCAATTTTATTAGATTATATGCTCTCTGAACCGCAATATCTTGCGAAAATGCAAAAGTATTCAATAGACCTTCGAATATATAAAATCGTAAGCACGCATATTGATTAATTAATGTATAAATTATATTTGATTATCTATCTCGTGTAAAAAAATAATGTTTACCTTGAATCGAAGCAGCAACAAAACCAAACAGTAATAGTTCATATTTAATGCTCTTACTAAAATACATATCGGTTTCAGCCAAGAAAGTTGGAGTTTGACTGATCAGAGGAACTACTGGAAACCACAACACCTTTCTAACCACCGATGTTATAAGTGTACCTCTTTTTAATAAAACATTAGTGCTAGTTTTTGCTAATGTCGCTGATTTAGCGTTATTTTTATCTTGAGCGTCGTTTATCTTTTTGTCATTATCTTTAAACGCTTTATTAAATTGCGAAGACGCATAACGTAATTTTAAAGTGACGGCGAACAGTATTATGATACAATATAACACAGAAATTTGTTGCCAAATAAACAAAGTTGACCATTGCCATACAATACTTAATGTTGTTCCGGAATAACGATACCAGCAAATCCTACATATTATATTTATGTTTATTAGTGATTGATGGCGAAACAAATAATTAGTGAAAAGAAGTTTAAACTTACTGTTCAGGTATATCAAAACCGTACATATCTTGTGTCAATGGAAGTAAGGATAAAGTCAAAGCAAACACACTTGGAAGTATAAAATAGTATTTTTCTAAATCACGTCGACCTTCATATTCGTGTAGAAAAATAACTTGTAAGTTCTAAACATTATCATATACAATGATGTTAACATTGACACATAAACAAGCGCGCGATCTTTTTATTTGATCACTTTCCCTTCCAAAAAAACTTTTATACTTACTATAGCAATACAATCAATAAAGAAAACCGAAATGAGAGTAGAAAATACCCATCCCCAGGTTGATAAAATACATAATGTACCAGAGGTTGTCACAACCAAGTTCAATACTTGAAATGACGAATAAAAAATATCTGACAACATTGCAGCAAAAGCTAATCGAAATATCACTCGGTCAGCCAATCGAGGATAAGAGATTCTTATAAATATAAATACCAAACATCCGATTGAAGATGCTAATATTGATAACACATTTAGAGGTAACGCTATTCTAGTAATTGTCAGCGATTGTTCGACTGTTATTGGGATTATTCCGAAACTTGATTCTTCTTCATACATATTTTCAAAATAATTCGTAAATTCCGTGTTGTCTTAAGATAGAAATTATAATTTGTGAAATGTAAGGAACGAATTGAAATCTATCAACCAATTATTAAAGAATGTAAAATAAACTATAAAATAATTGAATCGAATCAAGAAGAAAAGAATCTTTCCAAGAAAAAATAAAAATCAAAAAATAAATAAATTTTGTTTTTTGTTTTTTAAAAAAAAAGAAATCACCCATATTAATAATAATCTTATATTAATTGTTTGCATCTTGAATAATATAATAATAATATATAAAATGCAATTCAAAATTTCTCAATACACACGAATGCATGTTGTTGATTAACACGAATAATATTTATTTTGACCAATCCGATGCAATGAATAAATAAAGAAGCAGGGAGGGAGATTAAAGGGAAAACCCCATAACTGACATTCATATTAATATTATTATTATTATATAAGTGAAATAAACAAAATAAAATATACAGTGGGTACAATAAAATGTGTGTAACGTGTACACATCTCATTATATATTCCTTGTTAAATTCACATGTAACTTTATTTCTTTATTTATTACATAAGAACAGTTTAAATCTATAATGGTGTATAGATCACAACAAAATCAATCAATCAATATTAATTGAAAGATGATCTCGCTCGGACATTTGCATCATTTCCCCTTATATCAAGACTTTCCAATAATAACTGATGATAAGCAGGGTCACACGTATGAACAAATAACAAATATTTGGTACCAATTATGATGATTTTTATTTTAATTGGATTTACAATATAAAATTTACTTTTTTCTTTGATGACCTAGTTTTAGAATTAAAAGGCGACGGCTACATCCAAATTGTGCGCAATATATCTACTTTGTATTGTGTGAAACATTTTGCCACCATATTAAGCGCGATAAGTACTTGCATTTTTGTCCAATTAAATTTGTATGCGAATTGGCATGATAAATACTTTTAGCTATCAAATTTCTGATGTATTTACTTCTTTTAAAGTTTTAATCATATTAGTAAATTCAATTTTTTCAATAATTTAGCATTGACAAATTATAGCAGATAAAACCTGCCGGCGTCCTGCAAGCAACTTGCACCATCCTATAAAAATTGGGATAGTAACATGAATTGTTCAAAGAAACTGACATCCTAGTAAAAAATATCTGCTTCATGCTGGATTATCTGCGTCCTTCGCAGTGCTTGATTGTCAATACAAACGAATCTTTTCTCCACTCTGCATCATTCAAACAAAGCCTCCTCCTCCAACCACCAGAATCACCCCAATAATCGCACCATTCTCATAATTCCTTCCACACTTGAGAGCATAATAGATATTTTGAGTAGTATATAAACTCTGCCCAAATTAGTGGTTTATTGAAGCTGTTGCAATAACATTACCAACTCCACGATAAAAAGAAAGTATAATTTTGTTCTTGATTACATTTGTCTTGATGGCATTATCTTGTAGTCATTCCGTTTGTTTTTTTTTTTGATTCCAATTTGTATATATTTATGATATCAGTTCCCTTCATGTATAATATCACCAGATAGAACCGATTTAACTCTGTTATAAAATTTGGATTTCACCACGGCCAATGGCGTATTCAACTAACTCTGGATGAAAGTCAACATCTCGAAAGCTCAAACTAGAGAGGGTGGTTTCTCTAGCTGCAAAGAGAGTTGAAGACACTCCAAAAAGAACTTCAATAGATTGATTCCACGATTTCATATCATTTTCATCAAACCAAGTTTGTCAAGAACCTCTCGCATTTGGTCAGGTGACAAAAGTTTAGCTATAATGTTTGTGAATTATCAACCAAACTTGCATTATTGAATTTTCTGATGGTTGTTGATATTCTTGTTGAAATTCCTTTCTATATATGTATTAGAAAAAAGATTTTACAACAAGATTTAATACAAATCATGCTCACAGGTATTAAAGGACATTTGTGGATGCACTTTCTTGCAATTTGTTTGTTTCAGGATCATATAGAAATGGTTCACTTACCTTTGGTTTGTACATAAAGTTAGAATGTGCGTTGTTCATCAACTTGAACAACAGAGTATACAATTCCATTTCTCTATAATGATTTCTTTTTTATCCTTGTTGATTGTTATTAGCTCTGATAACGATATTCTAAGCTTGGTTCATTTTTGACACCATATTATCTAACATATTCAATGTTTCTCTTGACGCAATTTTCTGAACATTTCCAAGGATAGAGTCAACGTATGATCGGCATAGTCAAATTTCGTTCACATGACTCATGTATGGCCAAAAAAAAAAATTTTTTTGTATTTATAAAATAAACAGGTGAAAATAAAAGTTTTAAAAATACATAATTAGTGACTTTTTTTTTGACATACTACAGATTTTATTATTTTATTGAAATTCATATATATACGTTAGGCTGGCACCTATCCTTAATGGCTCTTTCTGCAAGCATTCATTACTATTACATGCATTTGTGACGTTTTTACTCTTACTGAAAAAAAGTTTCCGTTGATCATTGTAAATTATTGAAGTGAAAGCTTTATTCATTTTTGTCTAGTACTAGTTCAAATTCAATATTGACTGGCCAAATTCAGATACTCAATTCTTTTGTATGTAAAAGTTGCTCTACATACCAATATTGACCAGCTATGTGTGTTTCAGATTTTTTTTCATTGCAACTTTGATTTCACCAAATTATATGTACAAAAAAAATAAAAATTTTTTACTCATTTCAAAAAATCAATTGTTCAAAAACGAACATAATGATCTCGTCCGAAAGTTTGATATGTAATAATAATAAAAATATTAAATAAACATCTATGTTTTTTCTTGTAGACATCATTTTTAATTTTTGAACAAAAATTTTCAAGTAAATGTTTTAGCTTTAAATGATAGTCCATGTGATGGCGGAATCATCGGTTTATGGAGCAATAATGTCTCGAACTAACAAGAATATCTTGATAAAAAAGATGTGATTACAAAAAATCGAAAAGAATCGGTAAAATTACAAATGATGTCCCAATAAATTGATGAAGAGTGTGCCAAGGAGAATTGGATATAGAATTAATTATTACTTTATTATTAAATTTTGAATTTCGGGTATGATTGTTATGTGCGTTTTTGAACAATTGATTTTTTTAGCTTAATAAAAATGTTATGGATATGAAATTTCGCACATATAATTTGGCGAACCTAAGTTGCAAAATGGTGATTTTTAAAACGTGCGCCAACTTTTGGTGTATATGATAAGAATCAAATGTTGTGACCCGAAACTCTGATACTAATATATACTAATGCTAACTTAGGGAAACCCCGAAACCGAAACTGCCCGAAACTAGTTTAGGAAAAAACAAAATCCGAAAACTAAATTCTTGCCAAGACCTAAACACATAATTCTTACCAAAACCATAGTTCCTATCGTTAATACAAATGCGGATCATCTATAATATCAAAGGTTAAAAATTTTGAAATATCATACGATCCACATGTTGGATTTTGAAAAACTACCGCCATTCAAATTCAGAAATCCTAAATTTGGGGTAATAATTTTGTGTGTTACAATTTTTGAGCCATACTACCATATTTGGTAATGGATTTCTTTAATTAAATGTCAAACTGTAAATAAAAAAAGGAAATAGATATAATGCAAGTAATAGTAAATCAATGAATGTATGTTGCGAAAAAAATGTTACACGAAATTTACTGTCTCAATAACAACAATAATAATAAAATTTGGAATTTTCAAATGCTAAGGCTCAGCCGATTTTTAATTAAGAAAATTAACTGATAAGTTTTCGAAGCTGGAGTCATGAACAATAAAACTTATCGGTTAACTTTTTTTACAATGATGTAAAATTTTTTGTTTTAGTATTTTGAGCTGACCGATTGTTACTATGACAATAAGCAATTAATTTGAGTTGAGATGTTAATTAGTTGTGGACTTTCAATCCAACCTGCTTCATTGAACAGTTCATAATTTACTACACTCCATTCTAACATTATGGACAAGTGCCGTGCACGTTGGGAGTCTTCCTCCACATGATGGTTTTGTAAATTAAAAAGTAACTTGGAATATGTCTCCAATAATGGGTGATTAGAAAAGTCTATAATTATTTTTTTGGTTCCATCATGTTCTTCATCTTTACGTACGCGTTTTCCTAAACTCGAGGATGTATTATCAATATTAATTATATCATCTGGATTGTCAATTATATTGTCACATCCATCAGATGATTCATCCAGACTGTTAAGATTTATTTCAACTATAGCAGAGGTTCTAAGAGATGTACCATGTATTTAAGTTAAACAGGTTATTTTTGAAACAAAATTTTTTAACAACAACGACAACGACAACAACAACAGCAACAATGATATTCCCGACATTTCTTCTAAGGTTATTCATGGCTCTGT